CGAAATGTGGCAAATCAATCAGCCAAATAAAATATATAAAAACAACAACTTTGCGGATTGCCACGGCTTTTAACGTTATACTCGTTTTGGGTAAGTGAAACGGGCATATGCGGTTTATTACTTAGTTGTTGCAGAAGAAGAATAATATATATGTACATATATTCTTATATGCAAAATTCATTGCTTCAATTCGAATTTTTCTCTATGAGTTTCTTAGGCTGGCAAACAAAATCTTTATGATTATTTCATCACAACATTATTAGCTAGCTTAAATATGAGCACACCCAGTGAAGGCGTGGCAATTCGCAAACATCTATAACTTCCATAAAATCTATATCTATATATCTCTAAATATATTTCTATAGCTATTCTTCCACATCATGCATAATTAAAAAGCTTCTTTGAGTGAAGATCTAAAAAAGTTTTTGCCAAGACTTATCGCTGAATAACTGTTCCGAAAATCTATGACATCAAATGACTAATCAGATTTTTAAATGGGTATACTCTCTAATGTAGGCGTGGTAAGGTCAGCCAAATCAGTAATTAATAGAGATTTAGAGCATGAGACAAGGACTGCAGCAGAAAGGCCAGCTAAAATTTATATGTCAAAGGTTCTCTTCCCTTGCCTTTCTCTTAAGAACTAACCCAAAAGTAGCTCTCAGTCTGTAGTAACCTCGTCTGGGACGGTTCCTTCTCTCTGCTTGTCACGCAAATTAATATATCTTATTTAAAGTTCTGACAGCAATGCGTTGACAATATCTTTGTGAAAGCAAAGCAAGAGCCATAAATAATCCGATTAGCATATCGAATTGTAAGATGTCTATAGAGAACACATCCATATTCTGATCAAATATATCGCAGTATATTATTCGTATTATAATCAAAGCACAATTTCGACACAAGTCAAGTTCTCTCTATTTCTCCTTTATTATAACTCATTGACCTCTGGTTAAACTCAAGCTTCGAATTTGTTGCTCGCTTGCTTTCATTGTTGTTGTACTTATCGTACCTAATTATATATATTTACATATAGACAATGTATATAGAGTGTATTTTGTATTTTGCATACCAAATGAATTTTTGACGTCAGTGCAAATGCACTGCACAGAGAACAAAAGTACAAAATAACAATACAAATGGCATGGAATGTGTCCCTGGTTAATCATATTACACAGATGATTTACTACTAAATTGAGGCTTCCAATATATAAAATATGATATATAATTGGGTATGCCGTTATGCAGTGCTAGAATATTATCTATAAATGATTTATAAGCAGATGGGGCCCTTTGACGAGGCTTTGAATATATAATAAATAATACACTTGATTTATTAAGATCATTCCCTCTAAAAAAAGATATTAAAATTCTATATAAGTAATTTAATAGTTATTTAAAAGTACAAAGTTTACATATTATTTCATACTTTTTTCCAATAAGTAATACAAATACATTTGTTATCATTTGGCAATAAATTTATAGCCAGGCTGCTATCGATAACTGTTGCTTTTGCATTTTTTATGCAATTCCACTAGAAAGTGGCTCTATTCTTATCACGTTGACTGAGTACAAGAACATATTTTATATAAATAATAATCTGCTTTAGTTTCATATCCCTTAAGCTATTTCGTTATCGATAACGACTTGAGCAGAAATAATAATTTAACTAATTTTAGAAATGACTTTTGATTAAAGTAAAACTGCAAATGTTTGTTTACAGACTCATAATTTAATATTAAAAACGAAATCGAAAGTATGGATAATTATTTAGATTTTATAAGCAATGCAAATAAAATGAAAATTGCAAATAAATCATAAATCCAGAAATCCAATAATAATAATTTCCACTGAATTTTCTGATACATAAGCAATAAAATGATCGATCGATGTTTTATAAAGACCCAAATAGCTACATAGGTATATGCTATACGCATATAGAAAGACAGCAATCGATTATCAGTTAACGGTATCTGCCTATATCTTATCAAGAGCGATATCGATTTGAGCCAGAGCAAATGCCACATGATTAGTCAGAGAGTGTCGAGAGTTTGGAGAGGCCCCAATAAAGACAAATCTGATGTGGCATGTGATTTAAGACATGAAGAACATTTCGATTACCTGGCAACTGGCTAAATTACGACATAGGGCAGACAGATGGATATATTCCTCTATCTGTTTATCTTACATACAGATGTGCTCAGTCCATATAAATATATGTGTGTAGTATATTATATGTATATGTATATATGCATAGATATAGTCTGGAGTGTATGTATATATACATTGTACATTGCACAAGCAAATCGAATCAAACAAAAGCCCGCCAAATGTTTATACATTTTAGCCATGCCAAGAATACAAAACACATTTCAACTTCTTTTTTTCGATGCCCGTTCATCGTGTGGTGAAGGAGTATATTGGGTTTCTTTCTGAAGTTTTCGCATATCTATGTATGTCTGATAGTATTAGAAGTAAGGACCAAAGATCTTATAATTACTTTACTACTATTCACCTTCGAATTCCACATCGATTCTAATCTACAAATAGATCTAAAGGCAACCCTATAGAGTCAAATTATCATCCACTGTCCAGGCAAAGCCAAATAGCAAAATATCAAAATGCTATTGCTATTGCTTGTTTATAAACGAGTATCATGCAATCGTTTACGGCCGCCTGCTACATTCTCGATTGATTCTATTTTTTGTTGTATTTAGTTCGCTTTCTGCTCTTTCAGGGCGATCAATAAAAAGCACAGGAAGCACACGCATTTGGTAGCATTTAAAAATAGCTAGCTATTAAATTGAAGGCAACTATCCCAAAGGACTCGAGACTAAGCACTCAGCACTTAGCACTTGCCACTGCCAATGAGAACTGAGCAGAAGTTGGGGAAGTCAGGGAAGTGGGACTCACCTTCTCGGCAAATTCCTCGCGCGGTCGTCGCGAAATTGTGGGCGCATTCATGAGTTCCTTTGTGGGTGATGGTGTCATTGTTAATAATTTTTCGATTTCTTTTTGGCTTTTCACTTTCTCTTTATTTTTCACACAATTTATTGAAATGCAATTTTAATTTGTATTGCTGCTGCTTAATTTGTATTATTGCTTTTCGTTACACTCTGCTACAAGGCATTCGTTTCGATTATGTGCTGTTAGAGTAATGATTTCATTTACAGTAGTCGCTCGCTAAATGGAAATTTTAATGAATGTGAATTGCTTGATATAAAAATTAATAATAATAAATTGAAAACTATTATTTATTCCTTTTTATAATTATATTAGATTTTATTCATTATTATTTATAATTAATATTAAAATCTTTAAAAATATTTATTGATTATTTAAAACATTGCTACGAATGCCTATAAAACCCAATTCTTATTAGACTTCCATAACATTTTCTTGTAGCTCCCATTTATGCGAGGGACAGCCGTAATATTCAGATTTTGTTTCACATTATCATATTTAACGTCTTTTTTAGCTTCAAGCAAATTATTGCGTAGTTGGTTAAAAATGTCGCTAACGTAATAAATTCACCGCACTTTTTTTTCAATTTTTATTCTTTATATATATGTTATTGACATTTTAATTATGGCCTGGGCGCTAGTGCTGGCGTGACGTGTACCGTTAGTTCTTTTTTCCACCGTGTTTTCATAATTATTTTTAGTGCACAAATCATTCGATATGAAAACCCGACGCCGGCCGGCTTACTGCGAATTGGAGTCGAATTCGTTTTGGGCACTCACGACCTTCAGCACGAATTTTAGCAATTCTAATTGGGAAGGCAATTGGTTAAGCGTCGTTTTTTGTTGTTGCGGCTGCTGTTTCTTGTTTCTTTTCTTTTTTTGTAATTATGGCCTGCAGCAGTGGCAAAAGGGCCGGCAACGTCATCAGCGACCAAGCGCAACAGTTTGTTGAAGGCGAAATGCTTGCACACAAACACACACACACACACGCATACATACATTCAGGCACAGAGGGAGAGCATAGGCACACACACACATACATGCATACAGACAGGCAGGCTCGCTAGCACAGAGTCACACACAATTACACACGCGGCACACACGCACACCGGTTAAACTTGTTATCGCGGCAGCATGCAAAAGAACCTAAAACTCTAGGCCACAAACGAGTTCTGGAGCGGCACCAGCAGCAACAACAAGAGGCACCCAGCACCAACACAACAAAACTTTATTTTGATTGTATGTTGCCTCTTGTTGTTTAGTTTAATTAAAGTTTTATTTTGGAAGTAGAATGAAACGAGAACAAAAAAAAAAGGAGGGAAACCCTTAAGCACTAGGCCTGAGCACTTATGTGGGTCCAGGCCAAGTGCCTGTTGCTTGGAAATTTACTTTAAATTAAAAACAAACGAAAGTAAATCAACAACAAAAATGAAACGAAAACACGACGCGACCAGCCGCCAACGCGCTGCAGCTTCAAACACTTCAAAAGGCGAGCAACAACTAACAGCCGGGTCCAGGGCCGGCTGTTATAACTGCCGCTTCACATTCAAAAGCCAGAGGGAGTAAAGCAAGAGAACAACAAACGGATTGGCCATGGCGAACTTTGAATGCGCTGCAAAGTACGAATGTCATGTAAGTGAACAAAGTTTGTATACGAGCTTAGCCAATATACAATATAAATTAGTCTTCTAATAAATATTAACAGTTTTAATATATATAGTTTTTATTAAGAAATCAACGACAATAGTAAATGTAACATATTCACACTTCACATCGTCAAACCTGTTCATGTAGGGTATAAAGAGCGCATGCTCAAAAAGAGCGTAAAAGTAAGAGAGCGCAGCCGGCAAAGAGACCATTCACACTGGTTAAGCGAGTGTTGAACACTGCGCGAAAAAGCTAATAGCGGAAAGCTAAACAAGTGAGAATATATAAATACCGAACAATTAAAGAGGTTGCTTTATATATATGCTGATCAGGTCCGTTTATTTAGCTTTTTACAAAAAAATGCATAAATATTGAGAATTGGTTACGAGAAACTACGCTTTGCGAAAGTGATCTGTTTTAATTGGCACTAATACATAAGTAATATGGTAATATACTAATATCGTTAATCATTTATCGTTAATCGTTATGGTTAGGCGATTGTTATTGCATTCTCCACTGTGCGTATTTGTGTTTGCAGCTCCTGAATGTGCTGTTCGAACTTCTGAATGTCACCCGTGATTTGCTGCAGACTGACGAGCACGTTCTTCATCTTCTCACTGTCGATCTGGACTTCCAGCTCGCGTATCTCCTTGCTCACGTTGCCCGTGTTGGAGACGCACTCGACCAGCTCGCTGCAATGGCTATGCAACTGAGCGAGCAGCTTATATGCCTTCTTCGCATGCAGATCGTGCTTGGCGCTCTGGAAGAGCAGGTCGTCCGTGTAGTTGAATTGACGCTCTAGCTGCGCTGCAACCACATTGAGCTGCTTCTGCAGCTGCCTTGTGTCGTCGAGCACTCGGAAGATGTCCTCACGCTGTTTCCGTATGTTTCCAATGAATTCGTGAATGCGTCGAGTGTATTCCTTACGTGGTGCCAGCTGAGTCTGGGTTGCACTACGCAGGGTAAGCTCGTTGTGCAACTGGGTTCTGGCCAGCAGCTCCTGCTCCAGCTGCTCAATTTCCAGGCGCACGCGCTGCACCTGCTGCGTTTCCTGCGCTGACTTGAGGCTCTCCAGAGTGTTCAGCAGGGGATTACGATATTCCTGCCACTGCTGCGTCAGGGTCTGCCGCTTCGCTTTGGTTGCGAGCAGCAGCGCTTCGAGCTTGGCCACGTTCTGTTCCGGCTCCGCTAGCACCAGGCAGCTGCGCTCATGCAACTTTACCACTGCCTGCAGGCGCTCCAGCTCCTGCTCCGCTTCAGACTCGCGTGCCTTCAAAGCTTCGATGCAGTTGGTCAGCGTCTTGCGCTGCTTCAACAACAGCTCTGATTGTGTGCGCAGCTGCTGCACTTCATCCGTCAGCTTTTGCACTGGAGTTGCCGCCGTCTCTGCACTGCTGGTTGCCTGCTTAACAGCTGGCACCGGACCAGGACTAGGTGGCACTTCGCCCACTTCCTCTTTAGCCGGCACTGCCATCACAGCCTTTGGTACCTGCTCGCCGCAGCGCTCCAAATCATTTTTGTGCATTACGGAGGCAATGAGATCGAAAGCGGTGCCATCCACTTGTTGGAATAAATTGGGCGCCAACTGCTCGAAATACTGTTGCACTTCCTTGCTGCGCTCCGAGAAATTGGCCCCAGGCACATTGAGATTCAGATGCGGCTTGAACTCAATGCACTGGCAGCTGCAGCCTTGCCTCCGCCTGTTGGCAACAGTGCGACAATACTGGGGCACCCAAGGCGCCTTCAACTGCTCCGACAACTGCCTGCGCACCTCTCGCTGCAGTTGTTCCCGGGCACTTAGGGAATGTGACTTATCAGCCAAATCGATTTGCTGTCGCTCCCGCGGCAGTCGCTCAATCAAATGCATCAGCAGGCGACGCAGCTCTACGGCGTTGGGATATAGAAAGATTTGATATCCAATGTCACCACGATAGCCCTGCTCCTTGCAACGCTCAGCCAACGTCGTGGCCACACTGAAACGTTGTGCCATCGCTCCACCTGGCAAGAATCGTGGCAGTTCCTTCATCGAAGGATCGATTTCCAGCAAGCAGCTAGAAACGGCACGTACCACCTGTTCTGGCGTGAAATTGGCCAGCTGATCCGTGGGCTCGATGCTGTCATCGATTTGCTGCAGCTGGTGCATAATAATTTTGTCCACTTCGTCCATTATTGCATTTATTTACGTTTATTTTGGCATTTTAGTTAAATTGGTTTGTTTTTCGATAGCCAGCAGGTAGTTATCGATAAGATTAGCCACAATTTGACATTCACAGTGAAACGCAGACAAACAAAATACCAAAAACATGTTTTATGGCACTTGTGGCCACTTATGGCACATATTTTATGGCACATGTGGCGGCAAAATTGAAAAATTGACAATGCTTACAGATTTTGATATAAATTATATAAAATGTGCAATAAAAATACAATATACAAAATTTGTTTACCGAAATTTCTGTTAACAAAAAAGACGCTGGGAGAGACTTGGGTTACAGTTGACAATTATTGGTTTCCAACTTGTCCAATATTTATTATTATCTGGTTTTTGGATCAAGTGAAATTTATACATAAATATGCTTTGCTATCAGCGCTTATCCAGTTTTGTTTTGCTATTATTATTATTTTTTTTGTGTTATTGCTTGCCACCCAGACATGGTAGATTTGAAATGACATCTAGCCACGGAGCATTACGAGGAATGTACATTTGCGAGCACATAAGGAATAGAGATATATGTATATACATATACACACACACATATATATATGTATATATATAAATATAGGCGAATACATATACATATGTATACATATATGCATATATAGACTGCTGACCTAACTGGACCGATGGCAGATTAAATGGTTATATAAATATATATACATATGTATATATACACTATATATGCAGAGTTCTTCTATATTCTAATCATTGTTGTTGGCCCTTTTGATGATGATGTTTAAAGCCAAATTTCCATCCTCGGAAAACTGTTCCACCGTTGATTTGTTGAGCACCAGAAAATCGGCATTCGTATAGGTCACGAAACTTTCGCGTATGGAACGTGGCTTGGACTTCCATTTGAGGGTGCGATTGTTGGCCTCCAATGAGATCAGATAGTCAAAGTCGGCCGCATCGCGCATTGTCCCGATCATGCGACAGGCGGCGAAATATTGCTGACAGCCCTCGCCCAACTGCACCTTCTCCAGCGATAGCAGAAAATGGCGGCCGTGACACGACTGTATCATCGTCCAATCGAGTGCGCCCACCTGATTGACGTTGGTGGCCAAGAAGATGATGTCGGTGCCCTCCATGGTGATCACATTCTGATGCGTGCTAACAAAATGTTTGTATACGTCCTTCAGGGCACCCTGCCACACGCACTTCTCATCCGGATAGGGGCAGAAATATGGACGGAATTCGCAGTCCTCCTCATGCGCCTTCTTGTCCGAGTAGGAGAGACGCACACGGCAGCCATAGCAGGCATGCTTGCAGGGAAAGATCAGTTTCGAGCCCACCTTCTCCATGGCCAGATTGCGTATATTGCTCATCGGGACACGGCAAACGGGACAGACATTTAGCTTATTCCGGCACTGTGAGCAAATGAGATGGCCTCGCGAGCATTGCATTATCGGTGGCATCATATATCCAAAGCAAACGGGACACTCCAATAGTGAGACCAAAAAGTCTCTGGTCGCCGTCTCCGTCTGCTTGTCGCAGTCGCTGCTGCAGTTGCCGTTGCCATTGTTGTTGCCGTTGCCGTTGCTATTGCTGCTGCTGCCACCTTCGACCTGGTCGAGCGGCGATGTCGCCTCTTGCTCCTGGTTGCTGTTGTCCTTGGGCGTCGCAACAGTCGCTGCTTGTGGGGCATCAGCGGCAGGACGCTGACGGCGTGGTTGCATGATTTATTCTCGATTGCACGTAGGTTCCTCTAAAATATATATATTTATAGATATATATATATATATAAATGATATATGTGTGTATGTGTGTGTGTGTGCAAAAGTGTGGTAAGTGTGTGTGTGTGGATTCCTTAGACTAAAAGTGAAAGCACTTTTCAAATTTTGCGCGCCGCGTTTAGTACATGCGTAACGGGTATTTCCGTATGCCTATCTACCGAAAAATAAGGCGGGTTTACTTTGTGAAGGCGGAGCGGGGGGTCTTTAAAAAATAAAATCGAAACTTTCAGAGTTAATTTTTCGTACGCTTGGCAATTTAGTTCTGTTTAAAAAAAAATTATATTGAAATTCAAGAAAACTAAAATTTGTTCGTCTGTTTTGTGGCAATAGAATCATGGAAATGGCCTGGCCTGCTCTAATCAAATGCCAGTGTTCTCCTAAACCACCTCACAACCGACCCAGAGCAAGCAAAGCTGATGATCATGAAAGTGTTTCCAAAGGGAAAATCGGAAAAAAATATTATGAATAGGAGAATGGGAACTGAGCCTATAAAATGATATAAAAGAGGGTAGTCGTGCATAGGGGCTCGAAACGAATCGAAGCCGGAGAAAAAACACTTCAGGATGCTGGAAGTTTATAAAGCTCTCATGTAAACATACAATACGCAGTGGTCTATAAAAAGACAGCGATCGAGAAGCTCAAGACGGTAGTGAAGAGAGAACCGAACAAGATCGACAAAACTGAGGGATCTTAGAGCGCGGATTGGAATCACTTTGAAGCAAACCATAATGATAGACAAAGCAAACATAGACGCAGAGATATCAAAGTATACGTACGTGTAGTGTTGCAAGGACCGAAAACTTGAATTCAGATTCGCTTTAGAATGGACCAAATATATAGACAAAGAATTTACTGAACGTTTAACAAAAATAACAGAAAGAAACACAGAAAGAAATAAGGTAAAAGATGTATATATAAACAAAAGTAATTTTCAGCAACTTTTGCTTATAAAAAAATATGAAAATATTTAAACCATATTTCAAAATGTTAACGAAATTAGCCTACTATATCTATCCCTACAAAATATAGTAGAAATATAAATGTATATAGTATTTTTAAAATACTGCTGAAACAGCAAGTTTTTACAGTAATTACTTACCATAAATAAATATTAAAACAATTACAATCACACTTGATATCAGATTTTCAATTTAGGCAGTCTCTACTGTATTTGCGAATTACTGGCTATCAGCATAGCGCAGAAAAACTTTTTTATTTATATATAGCTTATACGTAGCTTTAATTTCATTGATAAGACTTTTCAGCTTTTTTTTTACTAATCACGTTTATTTTTCTTCTTCTGTAGTTGTCGCATTTGTGTGTGAGTGTGTGTGTGTTTCACTTTGTTATTAAAACTAAATACATTGCAGTTGCATGATGAAACGGTAAGAGTTAAGGTAAAAATCAGTTCATTAACAATTTCCAATTGCATTTGCGAGACAACAAAAACAAAAATCAACTTGTACGGGAGATCGATCTAAATTATATCAAATTTAAACATATTACATTGCTTTTCTCTTTCAACTGTCTTTTTGTTGTAGTTAGAGGGGGCACACTGTGATTGTTATTGTTTAGTTAAAAAAGAAATTGTTGTGTGTGTGTTACGTTTCGTTTTGGCATGAACAAAAATTGTCGCAATCGCTTACAACTCTCGAGTTATTACATAATTATATTATTATTATTATTTATATGTATATATGTACATATATATTTCTATATATATATGCTCTTTATTTTCTTGTATTCTTGTTCATTTCGTTAAAAGTGATGTTTACTTTTATAGCATTTACAAGTATTTCTCTTTTTGTTTTTATTTTTGTATAAAATAATTTACATTAACTAAACTTAGGCTGCATAGTGTAAATGTGTGTGTGTGTGTACTATGAAATGTATGCTTGATGTATGGATGTACGTTATGTTGTAGCTGCTTGTGTGTTCGTACGCCTTACAAACTAAAATTAAACTAAGAAAAAACCCACAAAAATTCTTATTAAATCGATCTTGAATATAGGTATATATGTAAATATGTGTGTGTCTGTGTGTTTTTTGTTTCGTTTCTTTCTCTTTCTCTTCGTTTTGGAAAAAAATGAATATCCTAGAATCTAGCAATTTGGAGACTGACACAGAGACAGACAGACCTGACCTAACCGACCCTACTACATACATACATACGCACATACATGACATGATGTAAACGGCTGTATCATAATAATCGTTTTAGAAACGATTCATATTCCATATTCCATATTCATCATCATACTAGTTACTCTAGCTCCCCCAGAGACGGCGCAATCCTTAGACGAGAGATATGGTTACATTGATGCCCAGATTCCCATTGTCGGCAAACAGTTGCGCAATCGATGTATCAAACACCAGACAATCCGAATTGTGTATAGCAGAGGCAACACCTTCGTGTATGGAACGCGGCATTGCCTCCCAGGTGAGGCGGCGTCGATTGCCATTTAATTCCAGTCGATAGACAAAGTTCTCGGCCTCCTTGCGCGACCCAATTAATTGGACAATGGCAAAGAACTGTTGATGTCCATCATATTTCTCTTGCTTCTCCAGCACGAGCATGAAATGATGGCCGAAGCAGGACTGCATCATCACCCAGTCGACGGCACCGGGCAGATTGATATCGGTGGCCAGAAAGACAATATCTTCGCCCTGCAGCGTGGTAATGCTCTTGTGTGACATCATCAGGTGCTGCATGACTAGATCGAGCGGTCCCTGCCATTTGCATGAGGCGCCCGGACAGGGGCATAGGTATGGCCGGCATTCGCAGGTCTCCTCGTGCTCGGTCTTCTCTGTGTATACGAGTGAGGCAGTGCAGCCGTAGCCCGAATGTTTGCACGGAAATTTCACATTGGTGGCGACCTTTTCCATGGCCAGATTGCGTATGTTGGCCAACGGGCCACGGCATGTGGGGCAGCATGTGAGCTTCGATCGGCACGATACGCAGACCAAATGCCCGCTCGAGCATTGCAATATCGGTGGCAGCACATAGTCAAAGCAAACGGGACACTCGAACAGCGATGTCAGATCGGCAGACATGCCCGCATCACCGCCACCGGCGGACGACAGTGAAGAGCTGGATGAGGACGATGTATTCGCTGATGATGTATTCCCAGCACTGGAGCCGGTCGAGCTGCTCGTATTGGTGGCCACCACTGCCGTGGCTGCTGCTACTGCTGCTGCTGCTGTCGGTTCACGGCGTTTTGGATTGATTTTATTTGACATTGGACTTGCTTGCTTGCCACTAACTACCAGATGGGTCTGCCTCCACTTCAGGTGCCAGTGCAAAAGCAACTGCAGCAATTGCGACGACCCGACGAATCCAGTCAATCGAACTCTTCTAACGTCACCTGCCTCTTGGTCACTGCAACGAGAAACGTAACAACAAATGTGTCATATTAATTACAGTGAATGGCTCAGCTTATATATATACATATGTATATAGTATACATATTGATAATATTTCTTTTAGTCATGCAATATCCAGCTAGCAAGCTATTATTAAATGGATTGTCTAATGAAGGGTAAATGCATATGGGAGCTACAGCAAATGAATGGATTTTTATTCTAGCCATGTGCCAAAACAGAAAAAAGAAGGAAAATAAGAAGCTCTGCAAAACGGGTTTTGAAATTAGAATTCTGAAAAAAAAAAAAATAAATAAAGAGATAGAGCGAAAAACATGTTTTACACACAGGATTGAGGAAATTGGGAGTAAATTTTGGCAACCAATCAGCACACAACTTATTTGTAAAGCTATAGTAAAAGTCCTATTTTATGGCTATTTTTCTATGAACACAAAAAAAGCCCATAGAAATGAATGCTAACCTTGGCTAACGGCCCTTCCTCAATGAATCCTAACCGACCTTTAACTGTACAAATTATCTTGACAATGCTCAGCTATCATTAACCAAATTGTCCAAATATTCGTCGCAATTAATAATTAGATTTGGTGGTTTTTTCTTTCTTGTTGCTCATGTTATGTTTATTGTCGTTGTGCCAAGGCTCCAACTGTTTAAATCTTGATATTGTATTTCTGGGCTGGTTTAGGCGCGTGTACAAAAACGCGCAAATACACAAAAAAAAGCACGTCTTATCAGAGCCGATGACAAATGCAGTTCATTAATGCTGACGGTGTGTCCAAGACATACGCAGGAGCAAATGCTTGCACAGTGGTACAAGACTCAAAGTTTGTGATATGCAAAAAGGGTTGAGAAATGTTTTCCGATTTACTTGGGAATGAACAGCAAAAGCTCTTTTGATAGAATACCGGTTTAGATTATGACATTTCGTGTCATTATGAAATACATGATAATCTGGAATGGAGCAGAGCCTTCAATATATTTTTTATAGTACTTAAGAAACACACATAAATCGATATATAACTTCCTGAAATAAGAATCTACTGTGCAGCACTCCTAGATTTGTGGCTGCATACGAGATTGTTTGAATGTGTTTGTCTATGTGTGAATGTGTGGAGCATAAACAAATAAGAAGTGACGCGAGTTGCGTCAACAAAATGGGCTTCGTTTTTTTTTTTGTGTGGCAGCAATGAGCAGTGAGTAGGAGCAGAAGTAGAAGGAGGAGCAGAAGACAAAGAGAGAGAGAGAGAGAGAGAGAGGGGTACGTTGGGGCCTAGTTGGTAGCGGCACATAATTAACATTTGGCTCTGTTGGCTGCGTACCGTAAGAAATTTCCATGCGGCGGGGGCAATTACTACTACTGCTGCTGCTGCTACGCTATTGCTGCTATTGCAGCCGTGAATGTAATTAAGTTTTAATTTTGTTTTGTTTTTTTTTTTTTTTTTCAATGAGTTTGCAAAATCAAATAGAAAACGGAAAGCAGAGCACATATGTTAACAACAACAACAACTAAAACGGAACAACAACAACGAAAATTATATGTAAAAATAAACAGCTACAAAATAATCATAAACGTAAACTTACAAAGCTCTGTGTACGAGGCGTCACTGTATGCGTGTGTGTTTGGATTTGTGTATGTGGTGGGTATGAGGCTTTTATCAGTCAGTCAGCCAGCATATGTGCAAGTGTGTGCATTTATATACCACTGTATGTATAAATATATATATATGTATGTATATCCTCGACGATATATGTGTGCGTAAATCAATGCATTTACAATTGCAATCGCAGGTGGCCGCACTTTCAGGTTCGCACACGCACAACAACAACAACAACAAACGCAGAGAAAGAGAGAGAAAATTATAAATTGTTTTCGTCTTTAGCCACCAGCATTATTTTTTATTTATATATTATTTTTTTATATACATCCACAGTTCGGTTCGGTTTGGTTCGGTTCACCTTGTGCCAAACTCGAAATTCAGGCGTGAGCTAATTTCATTTTATTTTTTATCTAATTTTTCATTTATACGCTCGCGCACACACACACTCATTGAATAATATGGCTATATGTACATGTTTGCTGCTGCTGCTGCTGCGGCGGCTGCTGCTTTTGCTGCGTTTTGTAGTTGTATTTTGTGTTTTTTCTCAGCATGAATATCATCTGTTTGGATCGCCTTCGTCGTCCATCGGGTTACAATTTACATACGGGAGACGCAACGCTAAAGGCAGACACACGGCGACGACAACGACAACGGGGGCGGGGGCAGTGGCTTGTGCTGTAGCCAGTAGCCGTAGCCGTAGCTTGAAAATTTGTTTCTACTCTGTATATGTGTGTGTTTGCACTTGGCAAACGTAGCTCGAATTTTGTTATATATATATTTTTTTTTTGCACCAAACACTTGCTTAAAATATTGTCTATTTAGGCTATTACGATTGCAAGCACAACTATTTAACTATTAGCACGTCACACGCGTATTTCTGGCTATTTAATTTTATCTTTAATTTGCCTAGTGCTGGGCAAGCGTAACAGTGCTGACTAACGCTGATGTCGGTATTTTTGGTATTTTAACAGCACAGTGGCAACTCTGTTATCAATAATTCCAAATGTAAATTTGTAAATATGTCAATTATATACAAAATTCAAATGTTCCATTCATATATATAAATTTCCTTAAAAAGAAGATAACTGTAATAATTGATCATAGTATTAACTACTCAAGTAGCTTTAATAGACTCTGTATTGAAAGCTTATCAAGCTTACTTAATGAACAGCGTACTCTGCTCTTCTTCCCGGTATCAAAATAATGCAGTTTTATACTCCGCGGCAACCCTGTCGGGTGTAGCGTAATAATTTGTCGGTCACAAAAATAATTAAAAAGAATTTACTTAACGATAATAATAAAATAAATTTAATTGGATCGCCATGTGCATTGCCAGCACAGCTTAAACTTTTGGATATATGTATAATATATATTCCAGCAAAAATCAATAAGCTCATCTGTCATTCCTCGTATCTGGAGCACGGACCATCCCCCAAAAAGCACGCATACCAGCACAAAAAAAGAAAAAACGGAAAAAATATAAAACTAATGAAAAAAGAAGGATACATTTGATAAATTGTGTGAAAAAACGCTCGTCATGTTGGGGCAAATTGGAAAATTCAATGTGCTAGTATTTTGCACATTGATTGCCATCTGTGTGGCTGTCATGAATGATCCGTATAAGGAACTCGGTGTCAGTTCCACAGCATCCGCACAGGAAATTCGACGAGCGTATAAGCAATTGGCCAAGGAGTGGCATCCGGATAAAAGTAATCATCCAGATGCAGAACGTAAGTTTGTACAGATCAAAAAGGCCTACGAGCTGTTGAGCGACACCGATCGCCGACGTATTTACGATAAACATGGCATTACCAGCGAGGATTCCCATTTCTTAAAACAAAAACACGATTACAGCAACTACAATCGATTCGGGTTCGATCCAGTGGAAGAGTTCTTTGGTAAGCAATTTGGTTTCGATCAGGACATCAGCTTATATCACAAACTCTCCGTCACTTCCAACTACTTTGAGCATACCATCATACCGAAGAGCAAAACCAAGTTGCATATTATAATGTTCTACAACGATTGGTGTTTCGGTTGTATACGAATTGTGGGAGCGTTCAAGAAGCTGATCGACACCTTCGAGCCACTGGGAATATCCTTTGTCACCATCAATGCCGCTCACGAGCCAACCATATTGCGCAAAACTGGAGCAGATGATATACCAAGAATGGTGCTGGTGCTCGGCGGGCATAGCTATGTCTATCGCGAGAATATATATACGCAGCAGAAATTGGCCGAGTTTATACGCAAGAAGATGCCCTTTAAGATCGGTCAGCGCGTCAATGATGAGAATGTCGACGAGTTTCTGAGTGGTTGGACGGATAATCGGGTGCGTGCTCTGGTCTTGGAGCCGCGAAGCGTAACCAGGCTGAGATATCTGATAAGCGCCTTTGCCTACCATGATCGTGTGGCTTTTGGCTTTGTGGATCTAACTAGTAAGGCTTCTAGTCTCATGGCTGATCGTTTTAAAGTCAATCCCAAGTTGGACACACTCTTCCTGTTCAATGAGGACTCTGTGCGAGCTGTTGCAAGTATTTCCATGGCTGATATACCCACACAAACACTGGACAACATCATCTCCACAAATCAATTCCTTTCGCTACCCCGACTATCCTCGCAGGATGTGCTCGAGGGGGTTTGCCCAGCCGAATGGAATAGACCAAGGAAGCGCCTGTGTGTAATACTTATTACAGAAAACTCGCCCGAATACGATATAGCACGAGGTGCCCTGCGACATATTGCTTTAGAGTCTGGCTATAGCTTGGAGAGAGTTCGCTTTGCGTATATGTACAAGGAGAAGCAGGCAGATTTCCTTAATGCCATTTCCAAGGGCTCCTTCGAGGACAATCTATTGAGGCTCGTTGTTATCTGGCGGCGTGATAGCACCCAAATCAAATACGAGTGGGTGGACGGTGCCAAGTTGGACATTAAGACAGACGACTATCTGAACAACAGCGCCATCAATGCGACGAAACATGAGATAAATCTTACCATACAACGACTGTTGAAGACGTCGGAGGCATTGACCTATGAGGCATTCGTACAGAATTTGTTGGATGAACATGCACAGGGCATGTTGAGCAAATGGATCACTAGACTACTCTATATAGTAGACTATCTCTCTGATAATATCGAAGATGAACATCTCTTTGCTGCCCTATCGCTGTTGGGCACCATCGCATTTATGTTTGGCATTGGCTACGTCATGATGTACTTTGTGCGCGCCGAGGAGGAGACTCTAAAGGCACAAGGACAGCTCAACAACTCCGGGCAATCCAACAAGCAGAGCAAACATGTGCCGGAGCTGAAGCTTTACGAGCTAAGAGCAGAGAAATATAATGGTCTAGTGCGCCTGCTGAAGCCCGGCTGTCGTACAATCCTATTAATAACCGATCTGCAGAGTCGTGCCAAGCTGATTCCTCCTTATCATCGCGCTGTTTGGCCATATAGACGTACCAAAACCCTTATCTTTGGCCATATGCTCATTGAGAAGGGCTTGTCCTGGTACTCGGAACTACTACGCTTGTCGCTATGCACAAATCAGAAGCTACAAATCAATCCCAGAAATTGTGTTGGCACTGTAATAGCCCTAAATGGACATCGCAAGTATTTCTGCGTATATCATGCCAAGCATCCAGAGTGCGCACGCGGCACCAAGCGAATGATCAAGATGACCAAACAATTGCTGGATCGCAACGATGATCCAGAGATTGGCAACTTCCTGGGAGTTAACTATTCCGAAGAATCAGATGTCGAATCGAATGTGCTATTCGAGGACAATTTGCTAGATGGACTCAGCAATTGGCTAGATCGTTTATTCGAGGGAACAACACACAGATATTACATCAACTATTGGCCCGATTTTCCCACAAAGTAAACTTCATGAAGTGTTTAAGTATGTGTAAATTACTTTGTCAGCCCGCAATTTCTTGTAAATCCTTTCTAGTCAATAATAAAAAGAAAACGAACAATCTACGACGTATTATCAACTCTCTACTTGAAAGCTATTTCTGCAGCGCTGCAACAGATTTCCATTAGAGCAAGAAATCAGCCACATGATGGTGTATTAACTATTTGTATTATCGATCTAAGCCTAATCTATGTTTCATAACCAAAGAGTAAATAAACGTTAAGTGCATTATAACATTAGTCAAACTCAAGTCAAGATTTCATTTATTCGGTGCTGGGTATTATATCTGATATATACCCATAATTATGATTCCATTATTTATGTTCTCTTAATCTAAGTCCCCCATTGATAAGATGATACCCCGCTCAGTGGGGCTCCATTAGCGAGTGCAGCCGTATCACAGCACGATAGTCGTTATGCGACAGCTCTCCTCGACGCGAACGATCCAGCACGCGTTGCAGGCGCTCCAACGTCTCCGAATTTGACGTCATCTTGAACAGGTCGTCAAGATATTTCAGCGATTCTCGTGACCAGAACATGGAGGGCTTCGATGCATCCGTGTTGATGCGGGAATCACCACGCTCCATGCCAGCCAACAGGCGCACGCATTCGGATTGCAGCGGACGATTGCGTTGCAAGTGCAGTTTGCCAACTGGTGTACGTTGCTGCATATTGTTAAAGGGTAATAAATGCTTTTGCTGTTGTTGCTGCTGCTGCTGCTGCTGCTGCTGCTGTTGGACGGGGCGAGGCTTGTCTCGCTGCTGCTTTGGTATGCGTTGCTTGTTGTTGTAGCTATTGTGCTGCTGCTGCTGATGCTGTTGCTGTTGCTGCTGTTGTTGCTGTTGCTGCTCCTCGTGTTGCCAAATGGGCGGCGGGGGAGGCAACTGCTTCTTCTGTTGCCCCGCCGACTTGGCATGTGGCTGTGTGCGTAGCTTAGCATTACGTGAATTGCTAGTCGGCTGTGCGACAGGTGAGGACTGTGCGCGTTCATCAGGTTTCCATAAAGGCGGTGGTGGGGGTCCTCTCTGCTGTTGATCAGCCCATTTGGCATTTAGCAGAACACGTTTGTTGGGCGAAGAAGTCTTGTTGGTGGAATCAGTGGCTCCAGCGGGTGGTGGCGAGGCAATGCGCTCTCTTTTCTTGCTAACAACCTGCTGGCCAAGCAAAGCTGGCTCAATGTTCAGCGAACTCATGCGGTTCTTTACATCCAACTTGAAATAGGCCTGCAGCAGCGATTCATAATTGGGATGTGGATAAGCACTGAATATGATGCGCCAATGCTCTTCGATTTCATTGCGCATCGCAGGTGTGGCGTTCTCATCGCCAGCATGCTCATTTAACAGACGCTTCAGTATGATCAACAGTTGATCCAAGTGCATGTTGCCATTGCTCAGACCTGCCTGCCCAAATAGTATCATATTGAGCAGACGACGCTTGCGTTCGGCCAGTTTGTAGCCACTTTTGGTATTCATTTGCTCCAGCTCCTTGATGCGGAAATAATGCGCCTTGGCATTGCCCAGATCTCCAGCCAAACTGCTGATGCCATCGCGCATAAAACGTATGAGCACATCGATGCGCTTTGGCGGCTTTTGGCTCTGGAATTCAATGCTCTTGCGCTTGACATCCTGATTGCGACGCAATAGCCTAAGCTGTAGGTCCTCCTGGTTCTTCTTCAATCCATAGATAACGAGCACATAGCCGTATTCCTTGAAGTCCATGCGCACACTGACATTGCAAAGCTTAGCTGAAGCAGATAAGAACTCGCGACCCTCTGGACTGAACAGATATTCGATTTGATCACGTGCCATGAGAATCTTCGCCTCTGAAGGAACATCTGGCAAGCTTTCTGGCTGCGCTGTTGCTGTTGCTGGAGCCGGTTTGCTGTTCACACACATGGAAATACCCTGGCTGTTAGTGCTGATGGTCGCATCATTGGCTTCATCTTCTTCGTTAGTGCTAAGTGGTATTATATCGGGCAGATTCTCCATGGGTCCTGTTTTCGCCGGTGGTGCTTCACTATCCGGCTCATTTGTTCTAGTCGTGGAGCTGGGCACCTCAAAGTGCTCGGAGAAGCTGTAGTTCGAGTCCGAGTCCAAATCATGTGGGGTGACAGTGGATTTCGAAGCATTACTGTTGCTGCAGGGTTTTTTGGATGCTGTAGACTTGCTCTCAAAATTGCTGCTAATCTCCTCCTGTTGAATTTCTTCGGAAGCAGGCTTTGTTGCAGCTACTTTTGAATCTTTTACCGCTACCGAAGCAGTATCAGGTAATGCTGGCAGCTCCTCAGCAACCGCCGAAGAGGTTGTAACTGTTGAATTACGACGTGATGCTCTGGCGTGTGGATTGGGCACATAATCATTTGTATAGAGCTTCAGCTGCTGCTGTTGCACTGGAGCATTCTTCTTGCGCTTCTCCGCCGGCTTCGCCAAACCAACTGCCTTGAGAAAGCGTGCATAGCAGCTGTTCTTCGAAAACGCTGAGCTCCAGTTAAAGTGAAAATGCAAATCAAAGGAAAATGAAGAGCGCAAGTCAGTCAGATAGCTAATGGGTTCACTGCGATCCTGGTAGACCTTCTGATGTGATATAATACGAATGGTGTGGTTTACATTGCGAAACTCGCCCATGCGCTGGCGACACTCCTCAAAGAGGTGACCACGTTGGGCGCAATAGCTGCAGTGCTTTGTGCGATACTGCACGTTGCTGTTTAGCACCGCATTGGTGCGGGTCTACGGAAAGAGAGTAAGACTTAATGTCGTATTTCGATTTAATTCATTCAGCTTACTGTGGAGTGATAACGACGCCACAAGTCGGGGCACTTGTCGCTGCTGTGGCCACGCATCTTGCACAACTGGCAGATCATCCGGGTATGAAACGAACATTTATTGCAAGTCTGCACATAGATAGATTGCTTGGAGCCACACTGTAAGAGATAGAGAAAAGCGATATAAGTAAAAGCGATATAAGTATGACTATGTAACTTCTCCAACTATCTAAGCCTCTATTACCATTAGCTATATTCTACAAGTACCCTACAGAACAACACAGCATCTATATAATATGCGACTTACACCCAGACACATGGCATTGGGGCAACGTGGCTCGGCATGCCCTGTCATACCGCACATGTAGCAAATGATGGGCTTGCGTGGACGCGGACATTTGGAGCGCATATGTCCCATTTCATAGCAATTACTGCACTTCAGATTCGAGCGTTTGCGCGCAGGCGGAAAGCGATCGGCATGGTTGATGCGCCACTCGCTGCGTTGACCTACAAATCGAGCAATTAATATCATACAAACAATTATTTGTATTTAATTAATAAAGTGAAGCACTTACCTGACATGCCCCTCAATATCTTCTGCAGATTGAAATTCTCACCATGCCAGCTGTCATTGTAGAAGCGACACATCTCATCATTCCACCCAATCAAATCCTTGACATTCACTTCCTCCTCCAACGCCGGCAAATTGTGCACCACTTGCACCTCAGCCACCTCTGCTTCCAGCTGTGGCTCAGACTGAATTTTAATATTATTTACTTCAGCTTCATTCGATTCAATATTCTCTGCCTCTGCCTCTGCCTCCGCCTCTGCTTCTCCCTCCGGTTTCGGCTCCAGCTCCTGGTCCGGCTTTGTGGTGCTCACTTCCTGCTTCTGCTTATCAATTTCCATACAGACTGCCACAATCGCATCATTCATCTCTGCCTCATCCTCAGTATTCGCATCGGAGCCAATGCTGTCCATAGTCTCATCATTTCGCTGCTCGGGTGTAGCCCGTTCCCTTTCCTTCTTCTGTTTGAGCAATCGTTCAGCGATTTGACGTGCTGTGGGCAGCGACTCCTCTCCCGCTGACTCTGAACTGGCGTCATCAACGGGTGTCTTCTTATGCTGCTCTGCTGGAATCACACTCTCCGAGTTTCGTCTTTGACTAATGCGTCGTATTTTACGCTTGCAACGCTCCACAGCCATACCACGTGCGATGCCCGGCACACCTGTTGATTGCACACCGGCATCATCATCGCTCTCTGTTTCATTCTGATCGCACTCATTATTGGGATCCGATTGGCTTTGGTTGGTGCTCGAAGCGCGTCGCTTGCGCAAACGCTTTGTTTTGCTCACAATGGGTTCTATGACCTGTTCGATGTCCGACAAATCCGAGTCGGAGTCCACGTTGCGTATAATTGTTGGCACAGGCTTTTGTTTGGCCTTGCAGTAGACACCGCTCTCTGTGAGATCTGATTCGCTCTCATAGACATCCAGAGCACGAAATTGTTGCTCATCCACACGATAGTTCTGTTTGATCTCTTCCAGCCTAGAGGGCGGCACAAACTCATATTCCGAAGAGGTGTCCGCCGCCTGCTCCTTCTCCTCGCTGACCGGCTCGGCTGCTCGCATAGCATTCTCTGTTAGCACGAGCAGATCCTCGTCCGTAGCGCGAGCACGTTCGGCCAGCAGGCGACTCGTATCCTTTTGTACAATGAAGTCATCGCTAGATAACACGGAACTCGAAGGTGAATTCAGCTGCGAAGCCATGGCGACTTGTTCTGTGGTTTGCCGATCGCCGGTCAAACTAACATCGGCTGCATCCATGGCATTCTCTTCCAGATAAGACAGCTCTGGCTGCTGCTGCTGGTCCTGCTCCTCATCGCTGGCATCGACATTTATAATAGGTACCGGTGGCAACGGCACAATCACCACATCGTCAGCATCTGAGGATTTTTCACTATCCACGAGATCGATTAGCTCCAAGGGCTTCCCCTTGTTCTGCCTTAGCTTCTTGTTGGCCTGCGCACGCTTCGATTTTTGACGCTTCTCTGCAAGACGCTGATGCTGCTCCAGCTTTCGATTGGCCTTGCCAAATGGCCCTTTCTGCTGACGTTTGCCGATTGGCCAATTGGATGGAATGGCCACCAAAAGGCGTTGATCAAAACGTTCAGGTTCATCATATTCAGTTTTTGGGCTCAACTTCTGTTGTGGTTTCGGTGGTGTTTGTATTTGTGGCTGTTTTTTAGGCTGCACCTTTGGTGGTTGACGCATTTGTTGTTGCTGCAGAAGTTTTTGAACAGGAGTGAGAGCTTTTGACTGTTTGGTTGAAGAAGCGGACTTCTTGGCAGTGTTGAACTTCTTTGTGGAATCCGTCTCTCGCTTATCCTGCTCTGTAGTTGAACCCGGCTCGTCGGCTGTGGTAGGAGCTGTGGCAATGAGAAGATTGTAAGATATATACTTAATTTTTATTGTATGAAAGACACACATATATTTTATTGCAAGCTATTAGAGCCAAAAATCATTGATTTACAAATATACATAGTTGTGATATTGTTCAATATCCTAGTGGATTTAGCAAGCTCCTCAGATACTCATTCTGAATATGTTTTATTTCGGGACGTCTCAGGCTGTAGCCGTGACGCTTGAGATCCTTCAACTGACCCTCATCAATGTGATAGAGTATAAATGCGTCCATTTGTAAATCGGCACGATTGGGCCACAATAATATAGCCACAGCGGTGCGAAAATCGTCAACAGCTTGATGAATTTGCCGATGTGCTGAAAACAAATCCTCAAGTATAGCCATGTCATTAGTTTGATTCGGTTGCTCTGAGAAACGTTTCTGCATTTTTAATGCTTTATCCAGCTGGTGCACCAGACGCATCAGTACAAATCGCCTATATCGCTCCTCAAAATATTGACGCGGCTTATTATAGCGGCTCCTGTTCCGTCTGATCAATTTGGATAGTATGGTGACCTCCACGCATGACATCACAACATGAACGCCCACAGTGAGGACAATGTAGGAAAATATATAAGCTACGGGATTACGCTCTATCCCATCCAGCCAATAAAGCAGATCGTATCCATAATAAACATAATAATAGTCCATGTAAATAATTGTGCACAACAACTTCAGCATAAATAGAACAAGAATATAGTAATTAATATCGCTTATGCGATCAAGTAGGACACGCGATGCGGCCATTATCTGACGGAGCATGGTGCTAGCCAGAGAATTCAATACGTAATTTTGAATGTAAATGCTTGTGTGACAAAAATTAATTTCAAATTGCTAAGCAACGTCGATACAAAATTTGGTATCTTCAAAAAAACATAAATAAAATACAAAACTCGTTCAAATTTCTGGATATAAGTTCACACACTCACACATATATATAAGCAATTTTAAATAAGTAACACGAATTAACTAGTCTATAAAAATGCATTAAATATATCGATATACATATGAAAATATGTACATACATATGTAAAACACTTTTGTCAGCGCAGTCGCTCACGTTTATATCACAATATAAGCATATGTGTAGGTAGGTAGGTAGGTATATGAAACCCAAATTAAACTTACTTTCAGCTGTGCCTTTTGGTTTTGATGTCAAATTATCATTTACTGTTGCAGTTTCGCTATTGTTATCAGCCCAGTATCGAGGCTTTGCAGTCGCATTGTTGATGATTCGTTTGTTACTAACAAATCGGTGTTGTTGCTTTTGCTGCTGATTCTGCTGCTGTGGTTGTTGTTGTTGTTCTATTTGCTGTTGCGGCGGTGGCATATTCTGTGCGTCCACATCCACATCTCCAGCTAGTGTATGCTGTTGCTGTTCACTAGTTGCATCATTGTAGTGTATGGAGGCATAAAGAATTGATTCCAGCTCATTTAATTGCTCAGGGTCCATTTCTTCAAGCTGCAAAAAATAAGAGACAAAACGAAAAGTCACTTGACTACGCAGTTATGATTTTTGCTTTTGATTACTGACATCGCTCATCGTGCCAATGCTTGTAGTAGTTGCCTGCCACTATGTTTATTTTTAGCATTAAAAACAAATCTTGTTATTTTAATATCTCTATTATAATTTCACACAAAACCACGTTTTGACTGGAGCCGAATGAGTTGTTGTTCTACCAGCGATATATCGACAGTATTTTCAAATAAATCGATATGCAAGAGTGTTGAGCAACGCAATAATCCGATAATTTATAGAGCAACCATAACTGTTTGCAAGCCGGGCCACGTACAAGTGCAGGAAATTAACAAAAACTCCAAGCACCAATTTAATGTAAATAAAACATAAATTGCAGCGTTAATATGCATTAAAGAACCTTTTCATTTGATTTTACAGCATGGAGCACATGCAACGCTACGTTTCACCGGTAAATCCAGCTGTCTTTCCACACCTAGCCACAGTTTTACTCATAATTGGAACATTCTTTACTGCTTGGTTCTTCGTATTTGTTGTCTCGCGGAAGAGCTCGAAGGAAAGCACATTAATTAAGGAGCTCCTGATCAGTCTCTGCGCGTCGATATTCCTTGGATTTGGAATTTTGTTTCTCTTACTAACCGTTGGTATTTACGTATGAGAGGCAAGACAAATCAAGCATTCCCCTTTTAAGATATATATTTATATATAAACCGAACATGATTGAATAAAATTAAATGTAGGCGTGTGAACGTACGTTGGGGTTTATTCATATACATATTTAATTTCAAAGATTCAATTTTTACTTAAAGCATTACCGAATATATTAGAATAACATATCATATTGTGTGCGGTCTGAATAATTGTTGCACTTGAAAAACTGCAAATGAAAATGTAACTGCAACAGACTGGGCCACCCATTTCACTCATTTTCTATTAGCCAGCCAATCCAGCTTTTTGTCTACACTTTTGCATTGTGGCACGCAAAATGAATTGCTTGCGAGAGAGTTGGCGCACATGCTTCAAGAACGTCTCCAGATCGATGACACCTCCACGCAGACCCTCGCCCAAATAATAGATGGCATCCTCTGTGGCAGCTTCATCAGCATAGGCATTAAGTAATCTATAAAAGCAATTAATCGATTATTACAGTTAAATATATAGTCAGATTACTAACTGTCTATATAAAGGCGCAGTTGTGGTTACTGCCTCATCAGGATCAATGGCCTCAGCATTCTCCAGGCTCTCTAGACTTTTCTTTAACTCTTCCTCCTTTTCTCGCAATACAGCTATGTTCTTTTGCAGTTCAATTTCCTCACGTTCCAGGCGGGCAATGATGGCATCTATCTTGGCACTACCTTCTACTAACTCTTGCTTGGTGCGATTCAATGTTTCGATTTCAGCTTGATACTGATTAACTTTTTCCTGTATGCGACGTCTTAACTTGTCCTCAACGGCGCTAATAAGTGATGCTTTGATATGCTCTTCCGTTATGGTGCCTGTTGAGCTAGGAGTGCCTGCGCTAGCTGGATTCTATAAGGATGAATGTACATCATGATAAAATTATTTCATTTTTATTTTGTATGTGAAAGCACTTACATATCCAATGCTACCTGGATAGCCAGGCTGTGGATAGTTCATGTATGGCGGATAGCCACCAGAGCTACCAGGCTGTCCACCTGCTGGTGGGTAGGGCATAATGTTCGCACCACCAGTAGGATACGGCGGAAAGCTTCCACCACTAGCGCCACTTGCGTTTGGATAAGGTAGAAACTGATTGGAGGCACCTGCGCCGCCTGGCTGAGGCATGTAAGCTGCGAGTTCGGTAGACTATTAGGAACTCGAAATCGAAAACTGGATTCAATAACACTTACAATTCGCTGGGTATGGCACAGCGACTTGTTCCTTAGGCTTAGAGTAAACGGGCGGATGATCACCGAATGTCACAATCATAACTTGTATAAGTGATAACAGATCCGAGCTATGCGGTTGCCAATCATGCAAATACGGCAAATACACCTTGCCATTGTGATCAACATACATGGACACCTTGATCTGCATTGTTGGCGTGGGCTTCACAAAGCACATTGGTGCATTTTGTGGATGAGTGTCCATCAGCCAGATACATATGGGAATGTAGTAGGTGTTGTCTGTGAAATACACATATATCACCACTATAAAAGCTTGCCTTATATATGGAATAATCACCACTTACTTTTGTAGACCACTGGTATTGTGCCTTGCAACGCAAACAAATCTTTAACGCTGCCATCGTTAAACACTGGGGGACAATAAAAAATTGTTCAATCGTTTGTAGTTGTAAATCTTAGTCAGCAAATATGGCTTTATCTCACCAAATTTTTCTAAATTATACGTCAGGGAGCGGTACGCAGTAATGACATCCACAACATCTTTCCTAGTGGCCGCAACATTTTTATACTGTTAACGAGACTCAATTAATCAAATAATGATTTTAATATTGCGTGTTGGGCAGTAGAGGATGGATATGGCACACACTCAAAAAACATGACTCATCGTACCTTGGATAGATATTTAGTTATTTGTGCCTCCTCTATTGCAGGCATTCTATTTCGTTGCTATTTGATAAAATTTAGAACCAGCACCTGCTACTTTGACAATTATTATAAAATAAATTTCTTTATAGTCGCTAAACGAAAACAAAGTCGTCAATTGAGTATTTTTAGTGCTATCATAGAATCGAGTACATCCCTTTTCTTATCGCATACGCTCGATAACATTAAAAGCTATCGATAGTCATTGCGTTACGTGATGATAGTATGGAGAATACGTTATGTTCGAATACATTTGAAAAACACAAATATAAAACAATATTTAAAAATAGTTATTTATTTTTGCTTCGCTCTTTTCTCTCTCTCTCTCTCTTCTTCTAATTAATTTCTACAAACGTGGGAAATGATATGTTCATCGTGCATTGCGTTGTGGATGCCTCCCAACTGACAAATGGGTCGATTTTGCAGGCAGCTTACTTTGCTTTAGGTATATTGCGGTGCTTCGGGCGTCTGTAATCAAATAAGAGCATTGAAATCATAATTTTTTAATAAAATTCAAAAATAAAACGTCTCTTCATTGACTTGGCTTTGTATCTTAAATGTAACTTTATTTGAATACTTTCGTTTTTGTCTCTTTACTCATTAGGCATATACATATAAATATATATATTTAGATATATACCGAATGTGATATATATTTATAAATATAGATATATATATTTATATTATTGTGTGTGTGTTTTTTCTTTTTTTTTTTTGGATTTGTGTCAGTGTACTTAGCCAATGTTCAGTTAACTAGGTATTACTATAGGTATTGTTCATTTGTTACTTGTTTTTTAAATATATATTTTATATAAATATGTATTTTTTAATAGGTTTATATATGTATGTATATTATAAAAATCATCATCGTCTTCTTCGTCGTCGTCGTCATTCTAAGCGCACTCGCTTTCTCATTGTGGGTGGTTGGTTAAATTTTAGTTGTTAAATTTGTGAATTACACATATAAAAATAATTCATTTAGTTTTACTTGCGTTTCTTCATCCGTGACGCTCTTTTCTTACGCTACACGTATTTTATGTGTATTTTAATATATAATGTATACATATATGTATATGTATATATGTTTTTGTATATGCTGGAAAATGTGAAGGAGGGGGTCCAAAGATAGTGTCTTACTACTAAATACCATTAAATAGTTTAACTCATTCTTTTGCTTTTTTGTTTTGTTTTATCATCTCATCTGCTTTAAGTTCACAAATATTTTAATGCTATTGTTAGAATACAAAATATTTTCCCTCGTATCATATATTATGTTATATATAGATTTTCCATTATTTTATATATGTATATATATAAATTTTATATATTGTTTGTGCTACATATTTGCATTATTTTTATTGCTTTAATCGGCGTTTGCAATTTCCAATTTCAATTTAATTTTCTTGTTCGTTTCCGTTTTACTCTTCCTCTTCTTCGATTTTTTATTTATTTATTTATTATTTTTTTTGGTAAAGTAAATTTCAAAAAGCGCGCAAAAGATAGCTTTCCAATAATTTCCATTTTCCTCTTAATTTCAATTCTTCCATTCAATTGTTTGGTTTTTGTTTTGGCACATTAATGCATTCATTGCCGTTAAATTAGTAAAACAAGTGTGTTTCATCATAATTCCTCATAAATAACAACACATCGCGTACGGATCCACATACTTACATATATGTATATGTTTAGATATACATATATGTATTTGAATATATATGAATGCACAGACTGGTCTTTCAAAATGTTTACGAAACGTAAGTGTTTAACAACAAGTGAAGCGTGGGCATGGGCGTGGTCGATCGTGCACAATATACATATAAAATAGTTTAGATAGCAACGTTTCTTTCTCGTCTTCTTCTTATAAGGTTTTTGTTTTATTTCAAATAAGTGAAAAAATTGTACATAGGTTAGCGAGCGCAAAATAAAAATGCATTTGCACGATTAATTCAAGTCGATATATAGATAGATATATATGTTTTAAGGTTTGTTCTGTTCCTCTTTTTGTTTGCATGTGTTTCATTCATTGTTATAGATTTTACTTTTTTTCTTTCTTTTTTTTTGTTAAGTGTATCGAGAAAAATTTGTTCTAAAATGTCAGTCTATTGCGCAAGAATCTAACTTTTGTGCTTTCCTAAGTTTTATATGTTGCTGTTGTTTATTTCTTGTCCGGTTTTTTTTTTGTTTTCTCTTTTATATAAAAAAAATTCCCTAATTTGCATTGTCATTATCGTTTCAACTAATGCGACTTTTTCATCGCATTGTTCGCTGTCCAACTCATGTGTGTATGGGTGTATTTGTATCTCTGTGCGTGTTTGTGTGTGTGTGTGTGCAAGATTTGTGTCGCGCTGACATTTGATGTTAGCTCGATAAGACCTACATACATACATACATATACATACACATACATAGATACATATGCCCAGAATTGGGAATCACTGTCACGCTACTATGCCACTATATTCTGATTCAATTGCTACAACTACTACGGTCTACTACTATCGTCTGTGGCTAACTTCAAGGACTTAACCTAGCTTTGTGTACGCGTAGACGGCAATGACGCCCACAACAACACCAGCGGCAATATATGTGAGTAATGACCTTCGTTTTTTCGCCGCCTGCTGATTGTCCTCGTTCTCACGCTGTTTGCGCTTAATTTCGTTGACTTTCTGTTCCAGATTCGCTTGGTATTCATTGCGTTTTCGTCGTTTCAGCTCATCCCCGGTACTGAAAATATGATAATTTGAATTAATTATAATATTTAACTTATGTATATTTATATCTTGCATCCTTATATACCTCGTCAAATCAATGCCGTTGACCTTATGCTGATCAATCGCCGTTGGCTTTTCGCTGTTGGCATTAACATCATCTTCATGGGGCTTTAGGTTTGTGACATCGCCATTGGCAGGCTCTGCCTTGTGTTCATTAATATTCTCATATTCCTCATCTTCATCGTCGTCATCGTTGTCATCATAGGCTTCGTCGTCGTCATCGCTATCCGATTCCAGTTCGCTATGCTTTGGCAATTTGGGCAGCGGCGGAAGTGGACGATTGTTAAGCAAACTATCTGCCACTTCGGCATTTACGATCTCAGGTTGACTGGTTATGATATTGTTGAGAGCATCCTTGCTGCTCAGCGTCTGCTTATCGGCGGTTATTAAGCCATTGTCATCGCCTACGGCAACATTGTCGCCATTGGCTTGCGCTGCTCGCATATCCAGAGAGAGCACTCCACCTGTATTGGGCGCCAGTGGCAAGTTCAGCGAATGAGAACGTGGAGGCAATGGAGGCGGTTGCTCATCCTGCATGTGCGGATCCGTCTCATTGCTAATGATTGGCTCTTCAGCACTAAGAAAGCTCTGCAAACATAAATGATACAAATTAGCAAAACATATCGCAAAAAAAAACTAAAACATTTCGTCCACAATTCATTCAAAAACTCAAGAAGTTCAAAAAAGCATCTAGCACAGCTAAAATAATTACAAATTAACATATTTGATTTAAAGCATACGGTTTTATAAAACAAACTTATGATTTTGTTTTAAACATTTACCTACATTTCATCAATTATTAATTCATAACATTTTAGTTTGCAACACAATTTCTATACAATATTATCATTAACCCATCAAAGGTCTGTTTAAACGGTGATGGTCGATGTGGCCTGCTCTTATGAACTCTTTATCTATTTGAAATCGAAATTCAAGCGTAATCTCTTATTGGTCGTCAATATACGTACAGGATCGTTCAGTTTTTTGATGCCTTCGATTATTGCCTGATATGAAAAGTCCAGCTGATCAGCCGTTTGTATAAGTCCCAGTCGGTAGGTGCGCAGTTCGCACAGTACTTTCGATACATTGCACTCGCCATACTTGTCCACCAGCACCAGACAGCAGTCGACCAGGCAAAATGTGCCAGATCGTCCAATGCCGGCACTGCAATGGACCACAGCTGGGCCGACATCCTCCTTCAGTGCACCTGAGTCGCGCACCTGCTGTAAGAACTTTAGAAATGCATCCGGTGAACTGGGAATGCCAAAGTCCGGCCAGGTTGTATAATGGAATTGCATAACTTCACGGCTCTTATTCGTTTCGAGATCAGTTAATCTAAGATAAGCGATAAATTAGTGATTGTTGGTCAAGCATGCTTTTCCGTAAGGCTATCTCACTTGAACCACCGCCGCACAAAGTTCTGATAGTTTTCGCAGCGAATCAGCTCCACAGACAGATTAACATCTTTCAGATTAAGCGCATTATTGGCTCCCAGCTGATCCGGCCAATAGGGATGGCATTTAACCTGCTTCTTCTCCTTCAGCTTGTTGAGCATTAGAATAGCGCGTGAGTTTTGCTCCCAGACCATCAACCAAAAGTGACCCACCGTATCCTGCAGCGGACCCTGTGTCAGTATATATTGACGATCGGCACGGTCCAGCTGTCGATTGTTTTTGAATATTGAAAGGGACGATATTACTTGGATGCTTCATTAATTGAGGTCTCACTGACTCACCTTCACCAGGTTGGCATTGATGTAATCAATTGTGCCGCGTTTTAGCACAATGCGCGAATGATCATAGGGATTGACATCTCTATATCGATTCAGCCCTCGATTCTGTGGACGATCCGATTCCAGTGTGGTGTACATTTGCGTTTTGGCCACGCGTTCGCATATTTCACATATTTCCTGCAAGCAAAAACACAATGACCACAATCAATTATGACGTTGCGGAATTTCACAGTGTGATTCACAATTATGCAGAAAGCAAAATGCAAATAGATAGTAAATTTTTTTTTTGGGGTTGCCCTTACATTGCGTGCTCGACAACCAGTCATGGGCAACAAGTTGCGTTATCTTAGCATAGCGACTGATTGGCTTGGCCGTGTCTATTCTCTTAGTCAAGCAGATTGAGGGCATGACTAATTGCTTGGCCAACGGTATAATCTTGGTAACTGTTATTCGTTATCAATTGGCGCATTTATAGGCCTACTCTTCATATCGCACCGACCGCTAACAACAAGTTCAATGCCATTGATCCACTCTAGTTAAGTTTAGCTCAAAGCCAATTGCTGCCCACTTGGCTAAGTAGTGCAATTTGCATTCAGTGTTTAAATGGCAGTGAATCAGGCAGTGAGTGCGAGGGGAGGCAGATGAGTTATGACTAACGAGGCATGCGGCATTAATGCACTTATTTTTGTATTTTTTATTGTTGCTGCTCGAGTTTTTTTATTTCGTGGTATTGTATGCGACGCAGTTTTTTTTTTCTTTTTTTGTGTTTTTGTGATTGCAGTGCGAAAAACTGAAATCAGTTGCTAATTGTCAGTTCGTCATTAAGTAGGTGAATCAGTTATATTAAGTCGTCAAGCCACTCCTCGATAATCAGCACAAATTGAGGCTGACGACTGTGGCGAGTATTATGAAATTTAATTGAAAAGAACAATGTCCGATAACAACAAGAGTGTGCAAAAGAGGGGCGATGCGCGCCATAGACACAGACAGGGGAGAGCGAGATAAGCGACTCAGGAACAATACAATATATGCGTATAAGCCAAAAATATCTACGATAAGCATCAATTCTCTTATCAGCACTGTAACTGTTACCAGCGAACTTCTTTCTTATCAACAACTGTTTATCCGGAGAGAGAGAGAGAGAGAGAAAAAAACACAGATTCAATTTATTGTCTACTCAATAGGTAAATACATACATAGAACATAAACACTAAACGGCAGATTTTTTGTTAGCTTAGTACAAGAGGATTTTTCACTTTTAATATTAATAAGAAATTTAATTAAATTGTTTTCTCAATATTTCACTTTCGTTCTTCCTTCCCAATCGACAATTATGGTTTCTTTCCAGGGAATACGAGCTAAATATTGTCGACTTAACTTAACAACTAATATACACCTTGTGTAACCACATGTTTTACGGGGTATGGGAATTGCATGCTGCATGAATTTTATTGCAACAAATAACGAACAACATAGAATGTGGGCAACGCGATCGTCACAGTCTGTGTGATATTTTGCTGTTGTTGTTGTTACTGTCATAATAAGCCAAAGCAAAGGTGATACAAGAAAGGCAAAAAAAAAGAGAAAAATAGCATAAGAAAGCAGCACAATACGGTAAATAATTGTAGCTTAAAGTGACCATAAAGCATATCAAACAATTTGAAACGTTTTCTGCTGCTATTATTATTTTTGTTGCGTCTGTTGGAGGCGGCGCAGGAGGAGGAACATAATTAAATGGAAATGTTCGTTTGTACAAAGGAAATGCTTTCAAGCGAAAAACAATTTGGATATTTCATCAAGCTCGACTGTCGCCGATGTCGAGTTAGTGGGAAAGTTAGATTATCCTCGCTGCGCACAAAGGACCCACACACACATACACACACACGTACGCACACAAAGGATGGCGGTCTGAGAACAAATTGAGTTTATTACACAAAAATTCAAGCACACATACATACGCACACGCACACACACACACACACACACACACACACACACACACAAAGATACGCAGCAGGCAATGTCATCCTAACTGCGAAGTTAAATTCCGTGAAATCCAAATTCAAGTGAGTGGCAAAGAAGAAGAAGCGGGCTAAAGCAACAGCTGAAGACACAATTCGCCGGAACTGGCCATAAAGCAGAAACTCCAGCTCTGGTAGACGAAGCAGCAACAGCCGCAGTGGCATTGGAAGCTGAAAAGAAATCCAGGCCCAGACACCGAGACTTATGCCCTTTCTATATGTATGCGTGTGTGTATGACAGAAAAAGAGAGAGCGAGAGCGAGAGACAAAGAACTTGCATTCGCAAGTCCTGTGCATTGCCAATTTTATTTACGTTCGCTAGGCAGACAGATTGCAATTGTGCTCCTTTACAGCACTAGAATTGTGTCTGTGTTGTTTAATGAATTTGCTAAAGAGTAAGCAACAATTACAAATATATATCAGTGGGTAGCAATCAAAACAATTGAAATTCAAAACATACACATACACAAATACGTATGTATTTCCTGGAATTATGTATAAACGCCGACAAGAAATTCGCAGAACTCCAAATGCTTACGAGGTGTACGCCGCATTTTTTCTCTTTTGTTGTTATCAATAATAGTAATAACGTCAAAACAATTTTTGGCAATCCTAATCGTAGCAGTTCGCTTGACTGCATACCCATTCAAAAGTCCAGTGCAGAAATTGGCCACAGTGTATCAGAGCTGAAGCGAATTTCAGGGAAAAAGAGAGAATAGAAGAGGCAGCGCAGCAGCAGCATCCAAGAGCAACAAGCGAGAGCGCATGCAAAGTGCAGCAGGTGAGCGTTAGCGATGTTTTGCATGTGTGCGTGTACGACAGTGAGCGACTCAAATTCTCTACATGTGTGTGTGTGTGTGTGTATTTGAGAGAATGTGCCTGTGAAATTTTCGGCCAAACGCTGCGCGAGCGCCACAAACTAAAGCCAAAGACCGGAGTTGGGCTGCTGCTGCTGCGGCTGCTGACCAACGCCGACACCAAAAGCTACAAATACAGGCGCACGCTCACATGACAGCGATGGGAACAACAACAACAACGACAACAAAATAATAGCGCAGTGGGGCTGACCGTGAGCGGCGTGCCTACACAGACACTACACGAATACATGTATAGTTGTTTTTTTTTTGCCGTGTACATGTGTGTGTGTATTGGTGGTGTTGGAGGCATCGGCATCTGCAGAAGCCTTTTGCGCACTCATCACATTTTCGTGGAAATCGAATGAAAAAAGGAATAAAATAGTATGTGTGCGCCCGAGTGAATGCCTGTGAGTGTGCATGCCTGTGAGTGTGTGTAATGTACATGCTTGTAGTTGTGTGTGCGTGTTTGCTCGTGCTCTGCTTCTTGCCTGTATGTAGCTGTTCCTCTTTAGGTGTACAATATACAATGATATGGTGGTACACTTACCTTGTAGTATCGATTCCAACCCGATCCATTTTTTTTGTCATTATATTCCTGTTCGATTTTGAGCCTGGCATTATCCCTCGTCGGCGTTGCAGCACGTTTCTCACTCATTGTACACTTAATTATGATTGTGTGTGTTGCTTGTTATTTTAGAATTTCGATTTATTTGTAATGTCTGCTGCTGTTGCTCGCTCGCTAGCTTGCTTACTTTTCTTTTTCGTACGTTTTGCGTTTTGTTTTCGACACACCGACACACCAACAGACACAAACGACTCTGAAACAACCGAGCAAATAGTGCGTAAGAAAATTTGACTACTGCGGCGACGGTCTGACGGTTTGTTGGTTGGTTGTTCGTCTGTTGCTAACACGCTGTACCGCGAATGCTGGCGGCGATTATATATAAGTTATTAACTATAAACGGTCAGCATTTGACACATTATTCAATTGATACTGTGTTAAAACACCAAATGCGTGCGTTTAGTCTTGATTAGTAATGTTTTTCTCCTTCTCGCCTCTTTTCTTTCCGCAAAATTAGCAGTAATTGATGTTTCGATGGCGAGCAACAAAACCTATCGTTCTATCGATTGGCACCTTAGTGCTCAAACACATGGTCACACTGGTCCCCTAGTGAAAAAAGTTGGCCCGCCCAATAGCAGTCAGCTGTTTTTAGTCGCGTAACAATTCGTGGTTAAAATAAATATGATAAAAACGCGCATTTTTCGATTGATTCGAGACAAACGCCTAAGCGTGCCTATTTTACGTGGCTTTCATCATGAATTCAGCAAACCTGAGCCGCAGAAAAATGCAAAAGTCGCTGAAAAGGAACAACAATCGTTTGTAGCTGGCGGCGTGCAAAATAAATACAAAGTCTTCCGCGACGATGAAGCACTTGAAATCTTTGATGTGGAGGAGGCTCGTTATCAGGAGCAAGAGTTGCCACTAGATGCTGAAGAGGATCAATATATGGGTCTTAATTTGAAGAGTGCGTGTGAGTCATTACCTTGATTGGGCATTATTTATACCTAATCCATTGCAGGAGGTATTCGCGGCGTTTTTGATGTTGAGGATTTGGTTGAGCTGCTGCGCAAGGAGAATGTGGATGATATATTTGTTTGCTATGTGCCCGAGGAACTTAAGTATGTGGATCATCTAGTTGTTTGTAGCGGACGCAGCTATCGTCATATGTTGGCCACGGCGGAATTTGTGCGCCGCATGTTCAAGATTAAGCGCTCCAAAGGGGACATACTGCCTCGCATCGAGGGCGAGAAAAGTCGAGATTGGATGGCCATGGATTTGGGTAAGCAACTGCCATGCTCTTTAAAATTATAGCATCATTTAATAATATATTCTCCCTAAGGCAACATTGCTCTGCACATCTTTTCGCCCCAGGCTCGCGAGGATTATGATCTGGAATCGCTATGGGCCATTGGCCCGCAATACGATCACGAAAGCCAAAAGCCACAGAATCCACTGGGCAACATATTTATAGCCCAGCTGCCCAAGCCCGAAACGTAGTTTGTTAAATATAATTGAAACTGTTTTTTAAGCGCACAATTTTTTATTGTTGTTCTCTACCAGACGACCGCGTCATCCGATAGCTTCTTGTGGAAGTCATAGAGGCTGGGAAAGACGTGATTGCGCTTGATGTCCGTGCCGTATTTCTTGGACAAATAAGAGTAACTCTTCTCGTGCACCAGTGCCGCATGCCAGCCCGCTTCCTTGGCGCCCAGATAGTCTGTCGTCGGCCCATCCCCAATGTGCAGACACTCGGCTGGCTTTAGATTCGAGAGCCTTGATTCCTCCATGGCGCGCTGAAAGATGGCCAACTGTGGCTTCTCCGCCTTCGCCGTATACGAATTGAGCGCAAAGTCCAAGTATCGATCGAGCTTTGTGTTGCGCAGCAGCGCATCCAGTCGCGGATCGAAATTGGCAATGACCCCGACTTTGAGTTTATTGTCCGTTAGACTGTGCTTGCGAAGCTGCTGAAGCAGATCCACGCTGCCGTTGCATGGCTGCCAGCAGATCGTCGTCTTGTACAGCTCCAGCAAATGGTTAACGAAATTATCTAATTTCTCATCGGGTATGGCTGCGCCGCTCTCTGCAAAGGTGCCTGTCCGGCCGGAGCAGCGAGAATGTATTTTAAGCTCTTGAACTTTGAACTTGAGCCGAGGGGCAGCCACAGTTTATCGCTTACCTGCTATCAGCTGACGCCACCACTGCTGCCACTCAAGTCGCGGCGATGTGTTCACACCAAAGTTAGGATAATCACGATTCATTTTATACCTGCCAGATGAGAGAGAGGGAAATCTCAATTGTGATTTATTTGTAGCCATCTCAAGCGCTTACCAATTGGCTTTGTAATTCTTGGCCAGGTCATTGTTATCGCAGCGCGCACCAAACAATGCACCGATTTCGCCATATTGTTTGCCGGGGCTGGTGCGAAATTGCAGCAGCGTATTGGTCACATCGAAGGTTATCAAACGAAAGCGATTCAGGCTGCGCATCGTTTTGCTTTGTTCGGTGGGGTCTTTCGTTCAATCAACTGTGCTGATAGCAATTAAACTTGTGTTCTGTAGCGAGCGACCGCTATTTGAGTACTACGTGAGCTGTGTCCATAATTGTTTTGTATATATGCTGCTGCGCTGCTGCTGCTGCTGCTACTGCTGCTATTTTCCTTATCAGCTACAGATTTGTATAAATGTTTGCGTGTGTGTTTGGCTATTTGTTGTGGGGTCTTGTATCAGCGGCAGCTGGTTAGCAATTTTATTAATGACAATTTACCTAACTGTCGCTTGTTATTAAAACGCTCAGCTTATCAGAACTCAATTTTAATAAGAAACTATTGAGTTGCATTGCATTGATTAGCCTCTCTTATCAGCAAAGCTTTTGCTTGAAAAGCGCGCGATTAGCTCTGTGGCGCTGCCAGACTGATTGCATTCAGTGGCAGCTGTTAGTAAGAGCGCTGCCAGCCTTAAATAAATGTGTTTAGCGAAGACAACAACCCCCGCGCGAATTTGAATTCTATTTTAAAACCTGTAACGCTCAAGTTCCAGCTGCAACGTGCTGCCATTTCGAGGTCGACTACGTTTTAGCCAAAATATGCGGCGCTGCTGAAGTTTGGCATATGGCAGACGTGTCAGTTTTATTAATGTTCGTGGGAAGCAATAACAAGGCGCATACAACAACAGCAATGCTTGCACGTATCTGTTGTCTTGACCTAGCAAAGTGTCTGACTACCTGCCTCAAGTTGCGGAATTGTTGATTACTTTTTGGGTTTCTGATTTTGCCGTTCTGCAATTGCATGAAAAATTTGTGATTTGGAAAAAGTGAGACTAGCTAATCACAGTGGAATAACAACAGATACTTGTGATGCGATTTAGTTAGGCATTTGCATTACTCTAGGTATGCATTTGGTATTAGTTATGGTATTTATTGAAGTTATTTATATTTAAAAAAAAAAAAAAAGAAAAATGCTGAATAGCTAAATTTGTATCCTTTTATTGATGAGCAGCGGCAAAATGAGACGAATCAAACATGATAACAAAAACCCACGCACACACACAGTTGTACAAATAAAGTGCCGTATAAGGTATTCGAATGGAATTCCGGTGAAAAGAGACACGCATAAAAAAACAACATAACAAAAGCATAAATTCATTCATATGCTCAACGAGTCAGGCGACGACGGTTGCGGCTGCAGCGACACCAACAGCTACCATCAACAATAGAGGCAGCTCCCTCTAAAACCCAATGGACCAAAAGTGCTTGGCCAAATCACACACACATACACACACACACACATGCACACAACAATCATGCTTCGTGCGCAGTTCGGATCGCAGCGCAGATTTCTGTTGACTTGCGCGCCCACAAAAAAAAAGAAGGAGAGCTGCTGTCGCTGTCGCTGCCGCTGCTGCCGCTGCTGCTGCTGCAAAAAAAAATCTTCAAACTTTCTGCTTATTTAAGCTTTCGTTGCTGCGCCCAATTTTCGTTCGTTTTCGCTATAAATAAAGTATCAATTTGCCTCGTTCAGAGTTTTGGGCTTCGGATTTCTATGGAAGGGCGAGGGCGAGTGCGCAAATACTCTGTAAATTCCATAAATGCCAAAGATCGTTAGAGTGTGTGCGCTCGTCGGGCTGTCATTCGATTTGCAGAGGGCCGCGAAATGCAGCCTTTTATTTATTTGGGCCAAATCAGCGATACCAAGAAAAATGAGGCGTGGTATGAATGGAATTCGCTAAAAACTTCATTTTCAGAGGGGATGGCTGGCATGGAGGAATGGCTGGCTGAGATGAGAGAGTTGCTTGTTTAACAGCATGAAATATGCCTTAGATGGACTTTGTGAATTGTTTCAAAATGGTATTTTTTAGCGTATTTTTATGTGAATGCTTAAATCTTGTTGTGGAAAGTTAAATAGGGGAACTTTGATTAATTTCTATAAGGAATAAGTTAGGTATTTAAGTAGATGCTGTAAGATATGAGAGGAGGCTCGAGAAAAGGAGGAGGCTCGAAAATTTAATGCTACACTTCAAAAGTTCTCCTTGGCTCTGTTGACAGAAGAGGTAAGCGTATAAATAGCTCTCGTATCTCATATCTAAACCCAAGCACTACAATCTTTCATGCCCACACCGAAATAACACTAAAAATCCACTTTGACTGATAACCGCAAATATTTGCACTGAAACAAGGTTAGGCTAGATATCTACAGACCCATGTACCCATAGAGCCAATGATTACAAAGTATTTCAGTTTCGCCAACTACTTCAGTTGCAAAAGTGAAAAGAAGAAGAGGAAGAATGAAGGAATATATGTATACATTATATATGAGAAATGAGCAATAAGTAATAAAAAGAGCCGCCCAACTTTCAACAAAAAACTTTCCCAAGAAAATTAAGCAAGCAAGCAGCTCAAGCAAATCAACTCAACTCAACTCAACTCGACTTGACTCGACTCGACTCGACTCGAGTCAAAGCCAAGCCAAAGGCAAGGCAGAGGCGAGCCAAAGCAAAGCAAACCAAGCCACGTCAAGCCGCCAGCCAGCCAACCAATAATAATAAAGTCAATGACTCTCATGGAATTTCATGTTGGCCCTTTTCGAAATGTGTCTGCCAGTCGGTCGGCCCGACTCCGACTCCGACTCCAACTCCAACTTGGCTGCTTGGCCGTCTGCCCGTCTGTCTCTTCGTCTCTCTGTCTGTTTGTCTGTCTGACTGGCTGCCTGACTGCCTTTTAATATAATCTGCACTTTGGGTCTTTGGCTGCCGCCGCTTTTTGTTGTTGTTGTTGTTGTTGTTATTGTTATCGTTGCAGTTTGTTGTTGTTGCTGTTGTTTTGATTGGTCGTTTTAACCTGTTTGCGAATTTCTACCATGTTAATAAATAATTTTTAGAGGATTCGCCTGGAACGCTTAGGAGTCAGCCAGCAGCAGGAGCGCCATCAGTAGCCAAACATTGGCAGAGCCGATGACGACAACGATGATGACATTGTCTTGGACTTGAACTCGGACCGTAGCTTAGATTCCACTGGCAATGGGCAGATTCTGCGGGAAACTCAACAGCAACAATAACTGTTGCTGGCCTTCTATATGTTAGAAGCTTTAGACTCGTATTTATACTTCATTTCAAGAAACAAATCGAACCCTCAGAACCCACATTCAAAGTCTAATCTTGATATCAAAATTTTGTAGTATTATGTAGTATATAATATATACTCTATAATGTTAATCGCACTTCACTGTCTCCACATTTTAAACAAATCACTCTAGAGCCATTATTCGCACTCCCTACTCGATATCCATATAGGTTCCACACCGATCATTTGCACATTTATTGACTTTTGCTGTTTACCAACACTGGCTTGCAATATACGGCAGATACTAATACTTTATTCTCTCTTATAAGCTTTTCCCACTCCCTTAGAAGCCGATTACCAATTCTTTCCTGTCCATTGCTTAAAAAACATAAATATTTATCTATTTTTCAGTATTCCCACAGCGAAAAAATGTTTTATTTTTTCAATATTTTCCTTTTAAATAAAAAATAAAAAGTAAAATTCAATCAAATTTTCCCTCTCTGATTTTTCTCATGCTTAAAATTATGCAGTGAAAAGCTCGCCCAAAAGTATGCTAGGAAATATAGCAGGAGCCTTAACACTGAATCAATCAATTTATAGTGCTCTAAAGTTATAAAATTTTCATTGCTTTGCAAGATTTTTAAAGTTAAGCTCGCAAAATTCATACAACTTTTGAAACTTCTTTTTGGGAGTTTCTAGCTTTATCCAATATGAGTTATAAATCTTAAAACTTTTAAGAAAAACTAATCATGAGTTTTATGAACTTAATTCTCAATTATTATAATATATATGATATTTGGCATATCTTTTGGAATTAGGAGTTCAGTACCATGTGTACACTACAAAATGCCTTCTCCATTGGAATTGCAGTTTGGTCATTAGCTCACCATGTTGAGGGAGATTTCAAGTTCTCGAAACTTCTTTTCATGATCATCATGTAAACCGCATTACCTTCCCAAAATTAAACCTATTGAAGGTGAAATTTTTCAGCAAGCTTATCTACCGTAACTTTGCTATATTAAAATCCCAATACTCTATATTTAATAAAACTTCGTTGCAAATTTTCTTGCTAAATTTTGAGTGAGAAATTGAATAGCCCATTGCATGCTATGTGCATTAATTTTATTATTCCTCATTTCATATCAGATTTTTTAATGTTATGTCTATAAAATCTGTAAATATTTCCACCCACAGATCCAATAAGTTTCACACCACGGCTTCAGCTTCAGCTTCAATTTCAGTTCCTCCAACTCCAGCTCCAACTCCAACTCGAACTCTCTTCGTTCTTCTCGTCTCTGAAATTCCTGGTTCGCCTTTAAGGTTTTGTTTTGTTTTTCTTGTTGTTTTGTTTTGTTATTTTCTTCTCATTTTTGTTGTTGCTGTTGCTGTTGTTGTATTTGTTTTTTTTGTGCTTTGCTCGCAGCTCGTCTGCGACTTTGACTGCGTCTGCAACTTCGGCTGCGTCTTGGTTTCTGTGACTTGGTCTTCTATCTTGGCCTTTGTTTGAGTGCCGCTGATGCTGCTGTTGCTTGTTGTTGTTGTTGCTGTTGTTGTTGTTGTTGCTGTTGTTGTTGTTGTTGCTGTTGTTGTTATTCTTGTTGTTGCCTCCGGTTCGTTCGTTTGTTAAATGTTTGGGTTTTGTTTGAGTTTATTGAGTGAATTCTTGGAAAAACGCAAGAATTTGTCTTTGGTCGCTGTGTTTTCTTATTGTTGTTGTTGTTGTTGTTTTGTTTTGCGCTCCGATGCGGCTGCTGCTGCTGTGGCTGCTGCTGGACCAGAAAAGTTGCCCCAAGGCAGAAGAGCTGAAGTGCTGAACTTGGAGTTGCACTAGAAGAAAAACGTACTCAAGTTGGGGCCTTGAGCTGATTTAGGGTGGACAGGTGATTAGGCGTGTGCTTTTCTTTTTCGTTTTTGTTTGTGCGGTCCACCCTAATGCCGACTGCACGATCAGCCAAATCGAAAGACAAACAATCATATCATCTAGATCGAAGGGGATACGTAAGTCCCCTACTTAGGGCTTACACTTGAGAGCT